ATCAATCCCACCCAAAGGTCTTTCTGGGTGAATGTTAACAGCCTTTAGCAGCTCTTTGCACATAATTTTGTGCATCTCCACTCTGCTACCTTCATTGCCTAGTACTGAGAACTGTAAACTGTAAATCCCAGGTTGAGACAGTGGGATTTATTTCATGCTAAGTTTTCTTTCATAGGCAATGAAAAAAAATCAATTGCATTTTTTTTAAACTGTCCATATGACTTAATCTCTGTGTTTACTCACCATTAACTGATCTGTGCCCTCAGCTGTGTTGATTGCAAAGAGGTTCTAGGGTAGCCAGATTAGCTGCTGCCATCTGCTTTCATGCCAGGTTGTCTAGGGAAGGTAAACAAGTTTGGGAATATTCAAAGGATGGTGCCACAGCTCAGTGGAAATGTGGGAAACTAATCAGCAAACAAGCTGTCCATTGTCTCTCTTGGCAATCTCAATGGAGCTACAATGGATGGTGTTATTCAGACCTGTGAGATGTTACTTATAGGCTGCTGTGAATAGGGAGACTACTTGGGCTGAAGTAGATACAGTATTTGGTTTTTCTTAGGTACAGGCACTTGGGGTGGGGAGAGCTTGGAGATAAACCCCTGACCCATCTTTGAACAGCAGCCTAAACTACAGATCTCCTAAATTCTCTTCCAGCTTGAATTATTCCATGATTTAAGGAAAAAAATAAAATACATGTTTTGATATACAGAAATTCTTTTCATACACATTTTAAAGATCACCAGGACAGCGTCAGTTTGGGTTGATTAAATCATCTGCCTCATAAAATGCAGGGAAATGTTGAGGAAAAAAATAGAACAGTTCTACATAAGTTTTGCACTGCTATTAATTAAATCTTTCCTCATTCAGTTCTGGAAAGATTTGTCATATCTACTGGAAATTCAGAACTAGAAAGATGCAGCACAGCCCAAGGGTGGCTTTGGATAGTGCATTTGACATGGCTTTCCAAGCTGCATATTGTTCCTGGCTCCTGAAATAATTACTGCAAATACAAACAGCTGGATCAGTCTAGAGTCTCTAACTTTGCTCCTCTGGGCATTGGATGTTATCACTGGATAAGATGCAATATCAACTATACTGAAGACAATAATAATGTTTCAGTGAACCCAACAGGACAAGGCTTTTCACATATTCTTCAAACAATTGTTATTCCAATTACTTAAGAAAAAAAAATTCTGTGCTTGTTATAAAAGCCTTTTTAAGTCAAAGGGACAGTTTTGACAGTCAAGAAGAGCAATCATCCAAACTAAAGAAAAAGAATGCAATAAGGTAACCCTGGCCACTGACCATACTAATTAACTTGGTCATGCTGATCACAGTAATTGTCGACATGTTTTCACTCCTTTGCATAATAGATCATGAAGCCAGGAAATGAAATAATTGAGATCAACTTTTATTTGTTAGCTGAGGATTGAATTGAGGTGATTGTAATAGCAAGAAAAGGAGAGAAAACATCTTTGAAAATAACCTTGTTTCCTAGTCTGTCACAATGAATGTTCCTGAAGAGGAAGATTTGGAAGAAAGCAGTCTTACTTCAGCAAGCTGCCTGGCTACACAGTTTGGTATTTGAGGAATAATTAGATAAATAGAATAATAGGTAAATAGAATGATAGATAAATAGAAAATATGTTTGTCAGCCAAAAGAACAAGTAATCAATGCTGTTTGTTTGTTTTATTATTATTGTTCTTCAATCGTGTTGATTTTATTCAGCATTCTCTGATCTTCAGTGAGTCAAAGAATAAGAAAACTTAATTTCAAAGAGATATGAAATGTTACTGTATTTTGAGGGATTTCAAGTATAGAGAAAACACCCAAACCTGTACTTTGTTGCTTCTGGGACACAAGGGCAAAAATTATTTTACATTAACACTTACTTCTTTTGGTCAAATTGCTAAATCTAGGAATTATTTTACATTAACACTTCTTACTTCTTTTGGTCAAATTGCTAAATCTAGCCCTGGTCATAGGAGAAACTTAAATGCCTCCCAACTGTACTTTGTGTGCTGCCTTTCCTGAGACTGTGAGCAACAGAAACTATTTTGGGGATATTATTTTTGGAGATGCTTAAATGAATCAGGAATATTTTTTCTGGATTACTCCACTTTTAATACTCATTAGATTTCATTCAGGGCTAGGCTGAGTAGCTCTGGATTACCCATGAATGAAAAGTGTAATTTAGCCTAATTTTGCTCCTGATGTGTGAGACAACAAGCACAAGCCTTCATCTCTTTTCCTTAATGCTTGTTCACCTGTGGAATAATTTATAAAGCCACCAGTGAAGACTCCTCTGTCTGGTCTCCAGCTCCAGGAAAAAAATCTGCAAACTCTACACACCCTCAGGCTTCCTCCTACTTCCCCATCTTTGGCTTTAGCCAACAACATCTCATCTTCTTAGATGCTCTGCTTTCTTATAGTCTTGAGGGAGAACAGTGTGACAACCAAGGTTTCTTTTCTGGGGTTTGAAAGGTAATTTCATGGAAGAGAGGAAAAAAGACCTCCAAGAATTTTGATGGTGAACTTTTGAGATCAGGTAGACTTTTATGGAAGTGCTGTGTGGAGAGATGGGTATGTTTGGATGATTTGGCAAAAAGCACAATTAAGTAATGATTGTATTCCCTCTGTGCACTGCACAGAAATTGTGTCATTTCATGCATCATTACTGATACCACAACATCTAAATTACTCTGAGTGTCAGCAAAACAAATACCACTTTGGCCAGCAGAAGACTTGAAAACTTGGCAGTAGATGTTATAGTTTTCATATTTGCTGTAACACCATGCACAGCTTCCATACTCCTGGCTTGACCCTGAGAAGCATAATATAATGAGTATTCTTGCCTGAATATCTGAATCTTCCAGAAATGTTGCTGGTTTGTGCTGGAAACAAGGATTATTTATTGTATTTATACTTTTGTGTGCTTATTTAATGAGAGAGGCAGGCAGGAGTCTCCAGCTGTTGTTCTCACAACAATGGTTTCCTGCAGTTCAGCAATGTGAGGACAACTGAAATCATGTTGTGTCTGGGGAGAAATGAGCTGATGTTGCATGGCAGGGGAAGACACAGGGAGCCAGCACACAGGAGGTAACATTATTTATTTATTCAGGTAAAACAAAACCTCTTGATTCAGACTTTGTGTTTTCCTGAGATACCACATATAGTGCCTGGAAAGGAAAGATGCAAGAGCAGGCCATGTGGCAGGTGTCCAGCAAGAACAACTTAAGCTATCAAAGCCTGACTGCTAGTTATGGAGGCAGCTTTGAAGGACACATTGAAGTGGCATCTTCTGGAAGGAAAGGCCTGGTTGTGGGCATCTAGTGGGATCTTCTTCAATGCATATTCAGCAATAATCCATTCTGGGTAAAGTCCTAGCTCAGATGGGATCATTTCACAGTCTGCAAATGAGACTGGCTCAGCAGCTCTTTGACTGTACTTAATAGTGTCTTCCTAGAGGTCATAATCAAATAAAATATTTAGATAAATCTCCTTACAGAGCTTTTGAGTGATTTTAACACAGGGATACAGGTCTGGAGGATCTTCCTCTGTGTAACATTCTCAGTTTTTTCACTGCCAATATATCATATAATCATAGAATGCCAGGTTGGAAGGGACCTCAAGGTTCATCTGGTCCAGCCATTTTAGGTACTACTACAGTTGATATGAGGTGTTTCAGCACCCTGACAAGCTGAGACTTAAAACTGCCCAATGTGGGGGAATCTACCACTTCCCTTGGGAGACTATTCCAAAGTTTGATTGTCCTCGTGGTGAAAAATTTACCTGTGTCCCATCGGAATCTCCCCAGAAGCAACTTGTGCCCATCACCCTTTGTCTTTTCCATGTGACTCCTTGTAAATAAGGAGTCTCCATCTTCTTGATAGCCACTCTTTAGATACTGGAATATTGTAATGAGGTCTCCCTGAAGCCTTCTTTTCTCAAGGCTGAACAAAATCATTTCTCTCAGCCTTTTCTCATCTGGCAGGTCCTCCAATCCTCTGATCATCCTTGTGGCCCTTTTCTGGACTCTCTCCAGCTTGTTCTCATCCTTTTAGTAGAGTGGAGACCAAAACTGAAGGTTGTATGCATGTGTGTTGTATATATGTGTGCTGCTTGGACTTGCTTTGAGCTGGTTCACAGTGTTAAGGAAGAAGATTTAATTCACTGTACTGCCAAAGTAAAGGCTCAGGTAGCCTTTTAGCCAGATGGATCCAATACTTGGCTGAAATTCTCCATTAAATAATGAAATATTTTTCTAGTATAGTCTCACTTTTGTTGTTCTGACAAGTGACCATAAAATTTCAACTTTGTCTTTGATGCTTGTCAGACCAAGAACTTTTGTGCACCATGTCAGTCATGACTCTGTGGGTTACAAATTAAATATTCTGATGCTTGGACACCACTCATTCCTGTGCTGACGCCACCAGGATGGGTCATCCATCTGAGTGTTTTCATCTGCACTTGCTAATGTAATACTTAGTTATTCTGTTGCAGACACATCTTTCACATATCTGATGTTGTTGCAGTTTAATGGATTTTACTGACCCATTTCCAAATGCTGGGTTAAACCAGCACCTAGTTGTTTGTTGTTTTTTTTCTGAACAGCTCAAAAGCATTTAGGATAACAGGTGTCTTAAATGAGGTTCTCTAAATACACTCTTATGTTCATAGATGTCTGCTCACGTTCTATCAGATACACATAGTTTGAATAGAAGTACTGAAAAAGGTATTGAACATATACATACATATATATATGTCTATATACATATATATGTATGTATATTTGCATATATATATACATATATATACGTATATATATATGGGGTTTTTTTTTCTTTTTAGAAGCTGATGGCTCAGAAAGTTTATGTTATTAGCCATGCATGGATAAGGTGCTTTTATTTTTCATAACTTACTTGTTTTGGAGTTACTTAACTTCCTTTCTACTTGTTTCTATTTTTGGACAGAATCAGTGACAGGAAAAGAATGAAAAATGGCTGAGTTCTCACTGCCTGGTACCAACAACTTCCGTAAATTCACCCGCAAATCCTTGGCTGCTATTGAAAAGAGAATTGCTGCCAAAAAAGATTGTCAAAGAAATACTACAGATCACAGACCTGAAGAGAAACCACGTCCTCAACTTGATCTAAAAGCTTTCCAGAAACTACCAGCTCTCTATGGAAATCCACCTCCTGAGCTCATTGGGGAACCACTGGAGGATCTTGACCCATACTATGATGATCACAAGGTCAGAGCCAACTGAGATGCTTGGGTTTTAATTTGTTTTATTGCCATGCTAAGCAGTGTTTATGTGAATCATCTCTCAAATAGTTTGGCTTACATCCCTTTTGGAAAAACTATCATCCTTTTCTGTGTTGTACTAATGCAGGCAGTTGGCACAGCTGAATGACATGCTGTAATCTTCTTACAAAAAGCTTAATTTTGAATTACAGGGATTAAATAATACAAACTTCATTAACATTTGAATCTTCATTTGAACTCCATTTGAATGGAAGCCGAAGAAAAATAAAATGGATAAAGGAAGAAAAGGAGGTTTTAAGTCAGATCCACAAGAAATGATAAAAATTTTTGTCTGTTATTTAATGGTTTGAAACTGTGTGTCCCTCTCAATACTCCACTTACATGTATAATAGGTGATCATTCGAGTATAAAAAATATTTTAAAACATTTGTGGATGAATCCTGAAAACCTACTTATCCAAGTTCCATATTCTAGTCATAAAATATTGAAGAATATTATTTTTAATAAAGAACAGATTAATGGGAACTAATCCATTGGAAATTAAGCTTATTTCTTGACAAATGTTTAATACTTTGAACTAAATGTTACAGTCTTAGAGCTAGGGGATCACTATCAACAACAGCAAATAATGATGAAGGCTGCAATTTTTCCTTCCACCTTTGTGTATCTTGACTCAACAAGAGGTCATTTTTTAATGGTTATAAGCAAGATTAGTTCTGTGCACAACACTGCAAGTCTGAAGGTTGAAAAGGAAAGCTCATGCTGAGGAATTTTTTGCAACTTAGTTAATGGGTATTTACTCTTTCATCAGTTTATGATGAAAAGATAGCAAAGTCTCATCAAGAGGTTTCCCATTTAAACTGACTCAAGTTAACATCAGGGTCTTGCTCATCACTGCTACAACACTACAGTATGAAAAGATATTCTCTGTTTGTTTTCCTGAAAGCTTTACTTCATGTCTCTTTATTTCTTTAAAGGTTTTCATAGTGCTAAACAAACAGAAAACAATCTTCAGATTTACTGCTACGTCTGCCTTATGGATCCTCAGTCCTTTCCATCCAATCCGAAGAGCAGCAATTAAAATTTTAGTACATTTATATCCTTTTGTTAACTCCATTCACTCTCTTTTGTTGCAAAAACCCCTGTGTAATCCTGTGCTTTTGTGTTTTAGACCATTGAATTAATCTAGTTGCTTCCTCACTCCAGATGACTTCTAATTAGGAATTACCTTAGAAATTATTATTGTCTTGGTGCTCTCGTACTAGTTAGAAATGCATCGTTGTGTGACTACAGGATGTATTGAAGCATAATTGTCTACAGATTTGTTTTTTGAGGATGGTCAGTCATCTAGTGTCTCATAAACAAGTATCTCATGCTGAAGCTTTTCTCAGGGAGAAGACTAATATGGTCCCAGTCCTTTTTCCTCATCTTCTGTTGACCCAAAGTGTGGGAATTACATTCATCCCATGTGTCAGAGTTGATCAGCCATTGGCCAATTTGAAGCAAAGAGGCTGACATAGGCAGGCACATAGGTGGAAACACATAAAAAGAAAGATTAAAATAAAGATATATTTGGTATATGAGAGGAAAAATTATCAGGGATGCTGTTGCAGGGAATGCCTTTGGAATATAAATATAGATCCCAATCCATAAGTCTCATTTAGGGGACAAGAATCTCTAGCCTATTGCTCCAGTTTGGCGTTAGGGAATGAGACCAGACCAATAACATAGTCTCTCAGGGCTGAATCAGACCCAGTGCAGAGTCTGCAGTATCCTTGTGTGGTTTTTAGTTTTCCAGCCATCTCCTGGCTGTGTGGTGCTGAGTTATCTGCAATGGTCTGATGTTGTCATAGTAGCAGGGTACGGGTATCCCTAGAGGTGTGATGCCTCATCTGAGGCTTTCCCTGGGCAGCAAGTTGGCTGATCAACACCAGCATTTCAACACTGGTGGTCCAGCTCCCAGATTTGTGACAGTTTGACCATGCCTAGAGCTAAAGCCAGGAGATCTTTTGTGGGCATGGAGAAGATAGATGGTGGAAAGGCCAGATGTCTTTGCCATGCACATTTACCTTCTGCATTGCTAAAATGTGTGGTATGTCACAGAGCATGGGAATCAGCTCTGGAGCCAAGTGCTGAAGGTTATGTTTCTACATGTGAGATAGTTATCAACGTTTCTGCCCATACCCTATAGTCAGCAGGGTCCAGAGGGCAGCTGGGCAGCCCCAGGAGTTGCCTAAACATGGTTTTTTAGTGATCTTTGAGACAACTGCAACTATCCCAGCAGACTTCATGCTGTCCCTTCAGCAGAGTACAACTCTGCTCTTTTAGACTCTGGTTTTGACTTCACCTATGTGACCTCGGGCAAGTTTTTAACTTTTATGTTACAAAATGAAATTCAAAATTAATCCCTCTTGCCACACTTTGAGTGACAGAGGATCCTTTTCCCAAGCTTGCAATGCTTAGAGCAGCAGATCTTCAGCCCACACAGAAACCCAGGTGGGATGAATAATGTTAGTGTTTTGTCATCTAACACAACTCCAGATCAGCCCATACCATTGCATGCTGCTCTTACATGTGCTTTCAACTCACAACCACACATCACATTTGTGACTGATAGAATATCTAGTTACATTTCTGAATCAGTGTAATATTTTTTGCCTTCACTCCCATGATTTACAGCATTCACTTTCTTTATCATTTGCACTATTATAACCAATTGTGTATTCATGGCTCTGGCCGAATCCTATAGGAATTCTTCTTCATGGAATAAGTATATCGAGTAAGTACCTGTGGGTATGTATGGTTTTCAATTCCATATTTGTACTGCATTATTGAGACTTGTCTTGCAACCTCGGGTCAAGATAGTTTAGAAGGAAGGTTGCTTGTGTTAGGACTTCATTGTTTGCTTTGAGGGAGCATTTTTGTCTTGAAATTAATCATCTACAATAATTGTGGTGCTGTAGGAGAAACTTAATGTAGATTAAGCTCTGCTGTTGAACTGACTTCAACTGTCCTACTGCTCCAGTTTGTTACCCAACTTTTTGAAGTTGCTCTTTATGCAGAGACATTGCCCCTCACTGTGAACAGTGATGAAGCACACCAAGAGCTGCTGTTTCTTACCATTCTTTTTAATGATATTGAAATACTGAATTCTGATCTTATTAATAAAATGTCCTGTTAGAAGATCCTACCTGCAGGATACTGATAGAAAATAAAGCTCTTATCTTCAGTGCTGCCAACACTTGCAGTGCTAAATCACAATAAATCCATGTTTTTCCAGTCACACTTCAGCTGGAAAATCCCATGGTTCTATTTCTTTTAAAGACTATTTCAGCTCTCACTTTTTCAGTTTGGCGGAAAAATATTAGAAAATGAACCCGAATAATTCTAACACCCACCACCAAGAAAAAGATTCCAAAACACTTTGTTTTAAAAACAGCTCTAAAATTGTTTTTTCCTATCTCATGTTACACGACACTGAAACTGCTGGGAATGGCAAATCCTCATGCAAGCAGGGACAAGACTCTCCATGATATGAATATACGTATCTCCAGAAGATGCTGAGATACTTTTCTACCTATGAAAGCATGAAAGATTAGACAAGAGTTGTAGCTGCTGTTGGCATCCAGACTGCTGTTCAAATGCATTTCAGTAATACTTTCAGAATACTTCTTTCCAAAAGAAAAGAGAAGCACTACATCCATATAATTTCTAAGTGCATTTGCTGACTACCAAATGAATGCCTTTTGAATTCTGTAGGGAGATCACTGCCTTGTTGAAGTCATAAGTGCACTCAGTAAGTCCAGAAGAGCTTTTACTGATAATTTTCCATTAATATTTTCCATTAATAAATTTTCCATCTCAAATTGAAAATTCTGTACTCTTGTATTTCTCTGAGTGTTTTAAACATTCTACACAGAAATGGATGCTATTCAAAGTAAATAAGGCACAGCATCTCACTTGTTCACTTGGCTACTTGAAATCAGAGAAAAGTACAACTTTTGATCTCTATTTTAGCAAGAAGCTGGGAGGTTTGCCTTCCTCAAATTGTGGGGACTCACATGAAAGTGTTTGAAGAAAAAGAGTTTGAAGGCAAAAAACCCCTAAAACATTTCAAAGGTGTTAATGCATGTCAATATCTGTGTCCAGATTGCAGTCAGCTACTGTCTCAAACTCCATGTGAGTCAGACTCTGGTAGAATACACTGAAAAATACAGAAGTCTTTCCATTACTTCTCTGCAGCATTGGCTTGGTTTGTTGGCCTAGACAGTAAATAGTCTGACTGTATCTCTTCTGTTAATTGCTAATATTGCTCTTTTCTTTGGCACATTTCTACCGTCCTTAGATATACTTTCACTGGCATTTACACTTTTGAATCTTTGATAAAAATATTGGCAAGAGGATTCTGTCTAAATGAATTCACTTTCCTTCGAGACCCCTGGAACTGGCTGGATTTCAGTGTTATTGTTATGGCGTAAGTGGAAACACATAAAATATGGATAACTCGGGCTCTGCCTTTGAAGAGCTTATTGCTGTGGTGCAAAAAGCTTTCTGCAGTACAAGAAAACCCCAAAACCCAACCCTGTGGGTCCTAACTGCATCTGAAACTATCTAGGACATTGGCTCTTCTCCTTGTTTTGTCGTTCACTGTGTGAAGACAATGTAAAAGTCTTTCAAGAAGGGAATAGAGCTGTGCAGGGCAAGGTACACTCTGCAGTGAGAGTACCTGAATGGGTGCATTTCTATCAGTGAAATGGAATGGCTGGGCTGTCAGATACAGACTGATGCTGTGAATTTAAGTGTCAGTTTGGAAGTAGAGAGATGTATATAAATACCAGGGCACTGGACTTAATTTGACCTCTTTACCTCCAAAGAGCATAGTCTGAATTTCACCATAATTAGAAAGCTTTTACACTGGTTAGGTGTAGCTACAGAAGCTGGACCAAACCAGTTCAGCCAGTATGTCAGCCTGAAATGAATTATTTTGAATGTTATCCTTGTTTATATTTTGTGTGATATTTTAAAATGCTGGCAAAAATCAGCTGGGCACAAGTCAAGAGCTGCCTCATAAGGAAATGTTAAGATTCAACGTGGGTTTCTATTTTACAAGTTTTCAGAAAAATCCTTGATATGTAGTTTATTGATACTTAAAATATGCTCAGAAAGATTGAGAGCTGAGAATGACCATTGTAAAATAATTACTCTGTTTAGTCCTTCAATCTCTTGACGTATTTTGTCCTAACTTTACAGGTACTTGGGAGCTGTTAGTGATCTGGGAAGCGTGTCAGCCCTTCGGACGTTCAGGGTTCTGAGAGCTTTAAAAACCATTTCAGTAGTCCCAGGTAAGAAAGCCTATTTGCTGCTTATTTTCTGCTACTTAAAACTGATTCTTTGCTCCAACCAAAATACTGGCTTTTGCCTTTTCTCTTTCTTATTTATTTTTAAATATTTTTTTTTCTGTGTCATTGATTGCAGACATGGTTGCACTTCTAGATACAAATAGTGTGTTGGCTCACCTGCCCCAAACACAATAAATCAAATCTTAGAAACAACTTTGTAGTTAATTTGTTTGAATTATGATTTTAAAGATTTTGTTATCACTTTATAAAGTCAGTTTTACAGAATGTTCTTCTAGCTGATCCATGTGTTATAGTTCAACAGAAACACCCCTGGTGACTGAGTGGAGTTTACTGTCAGTCATCTTACACTACCCCTGGGAAAACAGTTTCCTTTCCACTTTTCCCTTAGTTATAAAACAACTGGATTTTTTCTCATGACAAAATCAAAATGAAGAAGCAGTAGGTTGCCTCTGTCTTCTCTTTCTGGTATTTTTTATCACAGTCATTCTTATATCCAGCTTTTCTAGTTTCTTCACAGATTACCAATGTTGAAAACTTCATTTGAATTGTGCATATCATAGAGCCACAGAATTGTCATGGTTGGAAAAGACCTCTAAAATCACCAAGTCCAACTGTTCACCTAGGAAGATAAAAACAAAGAAACAAAGAAAATCCAACCTCAATACCCACAATGCCCATTAGAGCATGTCCTGAAGAGAATTACTCTTTCTGGACAAGAAAAACTTAACTGTCTCTCTTTCCACACCCTTGCCTCAATGTTTTACAGGGATTAAAGGTACATCTGGAAATTGTATGGTCAATAAAATGAAAGGAAAGAAAAAATATTCTTATTAATTACTCTCTCATCCAAACTATAATTGCATTACAAATATATTTGCCATATACTGTCCAGTAATTTAGGTACATTGGTTGTTACACATTGTTTTAACTCTAATTGAGTATGACATGAATCTCAGTATTTCATCCTATATTTCCTTTGTGTGTTGTCTCCCTAGGACTCAAGATCATTGTAGGGGCACTTATCCAGTCTGTCAAGAAACTTTCTGATGTGATGATCCTGACTGTTTTCTGCCTGTGTGTCTTTGCCCTCATAGGCCTCCAGCTTTTTAAGGGCAATCTAAGATATAAGTGTATCAGGAACTCTACTGAGTCTCTTAATGTATTTAGAAACCCTAACAAAACATGGGAATCCTATGAAAGTTTTCAAAACTATACAGGTAATTTTACTCCTTAATTCTTTTTTTTTAAGTGATAAAACAGACACAGATGCACGTGCATGTAACCACTGCTGTAATTTATATTGATGTTTTGCTGGTTGATATCTTGATTGCCAGAGCAATTTGCAGGCATCCAGGAAAGCAACCCTTCCTTTCATTATAAGAAACAGCACTCCCAAGTTTTCCAGTAATATCCAGCTCTCTTTCCCAGAATGTTATGGCAATAACTGAAACATGCATTAGCTCGTTCTCAGCTGTAATTCCCCAATGTTCACCTTTTACTACATGCATCTTCATTCTGCTGCCAAGTGAAGTGCTCTTCAACTTGGAACAGAGGAACTAATTTAAGGGTCAAAGTTATTTTCTCCTTCACAATCCTGTGTATCTGATATATGTGATGTACATTTTCCTTGTGTAAGATACATATAATACACCTTTCATGTACACTTCTGAGGCTGGTGTTGCAAGGATAGAGCAGAGATCTGAGAACATACCAAAGCATTTTCAGAGGAACAGCAACTGTAAAAAGTGATTCAGAAAGAAAAAGCGTCAGTGTACTTCAAAAAATATGCTCAAAGTAAACAAACAAACAAATCCCCACAAAAAAACCTATGCCAGAAATATGAAGAAAATCTCCACCAGTGAGTTCAGACAGAGCAGCTCTTACAGAGGGAGAAATGTTGAAATACATTCAAAAGCCACACAGGATTACCCTTAGTATATATGTTGTGTGGGAGTTTTGTTGAGACAAGATTTCTTGAATAACTTCATAGTCTTGGGTAAGAAAGCCTTCATAGAAAAAATTTTTTGAGGAAAAACTTTTTGCAGGAAAGCATCTTACTTGCCAAAAAAACCCAGACATAGGAAAAAAGTGATATACATATTAAAAAAATACTGATTTTCTGTGCTGCAGAAACAGGAAGCAACAACATCTTTCAATTTCGTTTTGTTTTTCCTTGTTTTTCCTGCTCTGGCAGGGGGGTTGGACTAGATGATCTGTTGAGGTCCCTTCCAACCCCTAGGATTCTGTGATTCTGTGTTTCTGTGATTCTCATGGAGTTTTTTTGCTTTGGCTTTGTTTTTTTGTTTGGTTGGTTTGGTTCGAGTTTTTTTGTTTTGTTTTGTATTGTTCCAATGCAAAACATTGCAGCTGCATAAAGGCAGTGACTTGCAGAAAGTGAGACTCAAAGAATTACAAATCTGTGTTGCTTCCCAAGTCTTGTTTACATTCTGTGCCATCCATATGGTATGCAAGGAGATTTGCAATGATGCCAACAGCAGCAGGAGTGCCCATAGAGGTTTAATGAAATCTAGATGACTTTCCTGCAGGATTTATGACCCAAGCACTGTAAGACCAGTTTTCTATTAAATTATTTTGTGTATGTTTTTTACGGGCTGTTCTGGTCCTGACTTTGTGCCAAGTTCCCACCTCCAACATAGAGAACTCCATGTTACTGCAGTTCTCTGAAGCCAAATCACTGAACATTCTGAAACCTTTTTGTCAGTTTGTAGAAGAGCTGTAACAAATTCAGGTGGAAAGTAGCCCAAATAGTGACTCATTCCTTTATGGTGTATTTACATGGTACAGTACAGCTGATACTAAAGACTCCTCTGGATCTGAATGTTGCCGACCTACACAGCTGAGGTTTGAAAAGCAGCAAGAAGACATGAGACTTCCCTTGCAGCTGAGATAAGAAACCTACAGCTTAATGGGGCTAATTAGCTATTAGCACTAAAGCTATCGCTTTTAGTCTGTTGCTAGCTCAGGGAACAGAGTAACTTGTAGTAAGAGAAAAGAAGACAGGCTGAGAAAGTTGGGGTTGTTCAGCCTATAGGAAGCTACAAGGAGACCTTATAGCACCATCTAGTACCTGAAGGGGCTACAGTAATATGGAGAGGGACTTTTTACAAAGGCTTGTAGTGATAGGACAAGGGGAAAATGGTTTAAAGCAGAAGGAGGGTAGATTTAGATTGAATATTAGGTAGAAATTCTTTCCTGTGAGGGTGGTGAGACACTGGAACAGGTTGACCAAAGAAGTTTGGGATGCCTTAGCCCTGGAAGCGTTCAAGGCCAGGTTGGATGGGGCTTGGAGTAACATGGACTAGTGGGAGGTGTCCCTGCCCATGCAGGGAGGTAGGAACTAGATGATCTTCAAAGTCCCTTTCAACACAAAACATTCTGTGAAAGGTCAAAAAGGTCACAGCTCCAGCATCCTAATGGAGAAATCCGTATTTCTCAGCTAAGCAGGGTTAGGACCTGCTGTTTGGCTCAGCAGAGCAGTGACATGACATGGTGGATATCTACAGGGCCAAATAGTTTCTCTTTATCCTAAAAAAATGCCTGTGTTTTTATTGCCCATTACAATCAGGACAGGTCTGTGTTGCCCCAAATGATGTTTGTACCCTGTCCTGGAGAGGGTTAATTGCTACGGGCCAAAATTGTGTCAGAGTTTGTGCTAATGGTTGTCAAACCAGGGGCTGTGCTTGAGTTTGTGTCCTCCAATTCTTTATTTCCTTTATGCAGATGTGGCCAAGATGACAATATTTGTAAAAAATGTCTGATTTAAGGACTGAAATTTGTGCATACACACATGCATGTTTATAAGTGAGGACAGGGCATCTTGCAATCTGGTGCACTGTCTATGAGCGTGGGGATCAGTCTCTCTCTCCATAGTGCTCATTTCCTATTTGCTACACAGCAATTTGTCTTAGATGTGTATGAACATACATTGATTACTCATCACTACTCATATTAAAGAAGTTCCAGGCTAGAAAGTACATTGTTTTAATTTTTTAATTTTTTTTACCTTTTTTATAGCACACTTTGCTAAGAAAGGGGGCACCTCAGATATTTTGCTATGTGGTACTGCTGCTGGGTAAGTGCACTTAAGAATATTTCTTGTTTGGAAGTTTTCTCTGCTGCAGTGCTTCTGTGTTTGCTCAGTCATAAGAGGTGAAAGCAGAAATGCTACATTTTCCTTGATTGCAGAAACAGGAACACAGACAAGAGAGAGCAAACAGTTGGACCACTGAATATTTTTAGAGAATGAAGTTGGCTTACTCAAGTCTCAATTCCTTTGAGCCTTTCCAGAAGTGCTGTCTTAGTCTTCCCCATGGATAAATAAGTGTTGTGGTTTAGGTCCAGCTGGTAACAACCTGGCCATTCCCCACAGTGGGGTAGGGAGGAGAAAATCCAGCTCGTGAATGGAGACAAAGACAGGGATGTTTTTGCTCCCCAATTAGGGTCATGGGCAAAACAGACTCGGGCAGGAAAAAATAAAATCAATGTAATTTATCAGAGCAGAAGAAAAAGACCCAATCAAATATCTTCCCCCCACCCTCCCTTCTTCCCAGGCCCAATTTTCTTCACTCCTGCCTCCCCCTCAGTGGCACAGGGGATGGGAAGTGGGGCTTCAAGATCAGTTCCTCACATGTTGATTCTGTCACTCCTTCCTGCTCCACCACAGAGTCCCTCCCATGGTAAAGAGTCCTTCAGGATCCCTGGCCACATGAGTCCCTCCCATGAGGGGCAGTCCCTCAGGAACAGACAGCTCTATCCTGGGCTGCTCACAGAGTCACAGCCAGCTTCCCTAATCAGTGCAGTCTTGGCCAGAGGCAGGGCAGGAATTTGAGCCAGGGGAGCTTCCACCAAACTCTGCCACACTGACCCAAAACAATGAGAGAGCTGAAGGCATGAAGAACTCAGATGTAGCACAGCACATACACCCTCCTCTCTGTAAAGGCTCATGAGTGTTAAGCTGGGAAAACAAAGCCTGGATTTTGGAGAGCAGGTTTGGGCAAGAGGGAGATGTGGCTACTTTGCAGTGAGGGGCAGGGGATGAGGATTGGTGATGAGGGAGTTCTCCTGGGCTGGTGGTCTCCTCCAGCCTGTCTTCTTCCTTTGCTACTAGGTCATGGGTGCTGCTTTTCCCATCCCACTTTCCAGCCAGTACTCCCTGGAGTAGAAAAATTGCTTTACAATCTAATGAAATGCAGAGCTGAATAATAATCACAACCCTCACATAAACTGATGTTTTCCTTGAAATTTGCACTGTTAGAAGAGCTTCACTTTTTATTATTACTTCTAGGACCTGTCCTTCAGACTATGTGTGTAAGAAAATTGGGCCAAATCCTGACTATGGTTTCACTAGTTTTGATACATTTGGCTGGGCTTTTCTCTCTTTATTCCGCCTGATGACCCAGGACTACTGGGAGCGTCTGTACCAGCAGGTATCAACTTTGTGCATCAGGTCAGAACTGATTTTCCAGGGACAACAACAGCAGAAGCACAAAATGTGTAGAGAAGACAAGAATCCTCAAGCAAAAGCAATAGCTGCAAGTCATTGAGTCCACATCCTCCCTCCTCCCTTCCAGCAAGCTGTGTCTCCTTGAAAAGGGATGCTGAAGTGTTTCCCAGCAGTAGTTCTGCCACCCTGCTGGTTTAGGGACCTAAAATACATTGCTAAAAGAGTCATGTATTGTCTTTAATTAATATAGCAATGCATCTTCAGTCATCCTGAGTTTGTTATCAGTGATCCATAGGAGATGGTACAGAAAGAGGGGGAAGAAGGACCAAGGAAGGTGTATTTCCATTTACCCTCCCTAAACCATTTTATCTAGGAAGCTGAGTGCTTCTAAAGAATTTCAGAGACACTTTGAAAGCCTATTTCATGGTTTATATGGTAATTTTTATCTCTGGGGTGTCTTGCTTACAGACCCTCAGAGCTTCTGGGAAGGTGTATATGCTCTTCTTCATGCTGGTCATCTTTCTGGGCTCATTTTATCTAGTCAATTTGATTCTGGCTGTAGTGACCATGGCATATGAAGACCAGAACAAAGCCACCATTGCTGAAACTGAGGCAAAGGAAAGGAAATTTCGGGAAGCCATGGAATTAATACAGAAGGAGCAGGAGGTATGTAAATTATGGCCTTGCCAAGCATCAGTCTCAGGGCCCTGTTGTCAGTCCAACAAGATACCACATCACTCCTTGTGTACAGCTGGATATAGCAGCTGGATATAGCAGCCACTTATGGGAACAAGAGCCATTCCTTGTTCAGCTGCATATTTTTCCGGTGAAACAGTGAATTTTCTTGTGGATAATGACCAATAAGTTCTGCTGCTACTGTAAGAAAAATAATATTTTGAAATCTAGAAAACGAAAAATTCCATCAGCCAGCAGTTTGAAAAAGAAAACGTAGTTGTTTTTAATTTTTCCTTATATTTTATCATTGTGGACTGCTGAGCAGAGAAATATGCAGTAACTCCATTGATCAAATGCATTCATTCTGAGCTAATAACCTATTGCAGTTGAATGAATGTCTCTTGGTAATTTAAATGGCTTAGAAGCTTCTGGAACAAAAATACTCCCGTGTTATGAAATTATAGTCCTAAATTCAGTATGGGAAGGAAAGTCAGCCACAGTGGGAGTACAGTCACAAGGATCCCTAACAAAAAGACAATTTTAATATTGGCTGAGCATTTATTTGGGGAAAAGAATGTGTCCTATAGCATTATTTTCAAACTGAGTATTTTTACTGCAAGCAAATCTGCCAGATGAGGAAGAGGAGCTATAATGTGATTATTTTGCCCCTGGCAGGACCAATATATGCAATCATGTAACATCCTGCAAAAAGCAAATTGTTTAGTTCTCCATATGCTGAGAAAATTCTCTCCTCTTTCTTTTAGTGTTACCACATCTTGGAAGATTTTAAATGAGTTTTGTAAACTGCAGATTGTTAAGGAAAAATAATTTAGAGCAGAGAAGTGTTTGCTTGCTGCTTATACCCAAAGCACACAGCAAAAATATCATCCTTGTTTTTGTTCTAATTTCAGGCACTGGCTATGAAAGGAGTGGATGTCTCATCAATATGCTCCTTTGACACCGTTTCTCTGTCTACCAAAGAAATCAAAGAAAGAAGCAATAGGAAAAAGAGAAATAAGTCCTTGGGAATAGAAGATAATGAAGACCAACAATTTTCCAACTCACAGTCCACAGACATTCAACGAAAGTTGGTAATCTATTGTCTGATCTGAGATCCTTGCAACTTTTCCAATTTTAATACTAAAATAATTTACTTGAAAGCATAAACTAAACCCCACTAAAAGCCCTGATCACTCTTAAGTCTTAAAATAAACAACATTTTGGGATAAGGAAGAATCATATGTAAAAATTAATTTGAACAGGAAATATTATAAATGAAGGATGGAAATAAAGTTATAATAACAATTAAAATACATTTTCTATAACATTGAGAAATAGAAGAATGTGAATGCTTATCAGATTTTGACTCTTGCACCATTGTTCTCTGTTAAAAATATGTTATTTAAAGTATAAAATAAAACAGCTACTACAGCTGGTAGGATTTTATTATCTACCTTTTAAAATCTAAGCATAATTCTTCCTGAAGAATCTAAATCAAATAAGAGTTTTGGACTTGCAGAGGTTGATAAGAAATGTTATAAAACTAAACGTTTATTGCTTCCCAAAATCTCCTCTATGTTATTATGACATTCTCTCTTTATTCCTTTTCCTGGGCTTTCAGTCTCTGCTTGGCCTGGGGCACCATCCCAACACAAAGAGGATGAAACGCAGAATTAGCCAAGGGACCGTGTTCAATTTCCAAACACCCCCTTTAGAAGTTGATTCCAGGATGGATTTTGGTGATGAGGAGACCTTCATTGCTGAGGAACATGAAATCCAGTGTCGGTCACTGCCAGTCACACGGATGGGACGACGTTTCAGTGTCCAAAGTCAGATGAGCCACAGCTCTCAGCCCTCTACCCCAACCAGCAAGTGGGCTGCCCCTGACAACTGCAGAGGGGGTGGGTTGATGATGGAAGGACGAAGCAGCAGGCTGCACAGTCTAGATCCAGTGCCTTCTGAAGGGGTAATGCTTTCACCAGTGATGGAGGATCCAGGAAATGGTGATCTGGTAAGCAAAAGATATGAAGTATATATTAATTTTTTTTTTCTTTCCCTGTAAGTGGCAGGTTTTTCTTGTTTTAGGAGTGTCAGTGAAATGGTGAACACTGAAGTCTACTGTTGTGGCAAGTTAGCTGTCATAGAAAATGTTTTTAATACTCTGATGGATTGCTGAAAGTTGGAGTTTGCTGTTTCAGCATTCCTGTTATACTGGCACAAGGTGACCAGGGAAGTTGTGGATGTCCCCTCCCTGGAAGTGTTCAAGGCCAGGTTGGATGGGGCTTGGAGCAACCTGTTCCTGCCCATGCAGGAAGGGTTGGAACTATGTGATCTTTAAGGTACCTTCCAAGCCAAACCATGCTGTGATTCTATTATTAGCCCTGTTTTTCTGCCATGCACATACTCTTGAAGGATCCTAATGCTGGAATGACAAGTCACCAGAGAGTCTTTTTATCCCATGCACTGCCCAGGGAGGTAATTTTGAGCAGTACCTGTAATTCCTTTCTCCTTCACAGCACCTTTGGCATCACACAGAAATTTGGTCTGGAAGTTTCTCAAGCAGGTAGAGATGCCCTTCTACCAGTTCATTCCTCATCTCTTTCCTTTTCCATTAGTCTCTGAAATATTTCCTAGGCCTGTTTCCCCTCATACACTGGTTTCCAAGGTTCGTGCTTGCCCTGTTGCTTGCAGGATCCATTTACTGTAGCATTATTACTGAGGAGTAGGACCTTTGTTCTCAACATCTATTACATCTTGTAAAAAGGTACATTTATTTGGCTGCATGCCATTGTTCCTATTAACTTTCACAGTTACCCATCACCACATCCTACTTAATTTTCTTCCTATGGTATCTCCCTAATCATGTTTACTACTCTAAGCAGCCAGCTGTAAATGATGAGAGGAGCATGATGCCTTTGCCTCCTCGTCTATCAGTGGAGTACATTAATGAGGCACTTCAGAGACAAAGGGCAGCAAGTGCAGTCAGCATAATTACCAGTGTCTTGGAGGGTAAGTGGCTCCTCATTATGCTTATTTCAATCCTAAGGTAACGCTAGCACGAAAGACCAAAATGTCAACACATTTCTGAAAGGTTAACAGAGATGTGTAAGTGTGTAGTTAGGAATTGCATTGTTAATTTGGCTCTTGAAAAAAAAAGAATGCATTCCAGTCTTTATGTACTGGAATGCATCCTTTGCCTATTGTGAAGTCTTGTTTTGTAGGACAGACAGTGAAGGGGATTGAAGTGGGTGGATGGGGTTTTTCTAGCATCTGAGCTTCAGGGCTGGAATACTGTTTTCTCTTCTTTTCTACTCTGACCTCGTAAGACCACATCTGGAGTGTTGTGTCCAGTTCTGGGCTCCCAAGTTCAAGAGGGACAGGGATATACTGCAAAGAGTCCAATGGAGGCTATAAGGATGATTAAGGGACTGGAACATCTGTCATACGAGGAAAGGCTGAGAGACCTGGGGCTGCTTAATCTAGAGAGGAGAAGACTAAGAGGGGACTTTATTAATGTCTATAAATATCTGAAGGGTGGGTGTCAAGAAGGGGCCAGTCTCTTTTCAGTGCTGCCTGTGATAAGACAGGGGAAACAGCACCAAGTGACAACACAGGAAGTTCCACCTCAACATGAGTAAAATTTTCTTTACTGTGAGGGTGGCTGAACCCTGGGACAGGCTGCCCAGAGAGGCTGTGGAGTCTCCTTCTCTGGAGACTTTCAGGACTTGTCTGGACGAGTCTTTGTGTGATTTTACCTGGGTGCTCCTGCTGCAGCAGAGGGGTTGGACTTGATCTTCAGAGGTCCTTTCCAACCCCTATGATTCTATGATTCTTGACCCTGCAACTTGTGATATGTCATTGGCAGAGACAGGCATGCAGGATGCCAGTGATAAGGTTATGCAAACAAAAACAATTGCAGCAATTCCTGGGTTTTGAATATTCAGCCTCACTGTTTAATTCCGTTTACTTCTCTTTCCATGTGAATTTTCTTGGGAGTTTTATCGCTGATCGTTGTTTTGATGACTGATAGTTTTGTTCTAGATCTTACTGAAACATTTCAGCCCAAGTTTTTCAGGATGAGGAAATCTGGTTTTGTTTTGTGGGTTTTGTGGGTTTTTTGTTTGTTTGTTTCTGTGTGTGTGTGAGGGGTTTGTTGTTTTGTTTTGGTTTTGTGGTGGGTTTTTTTTGTCCCTGTTGAGAAGCAATATCACCAATATTTGGACCACAAGTATGGGATTTAGCAGGGGGGGTAACATTGTGGCAGGGAAGTCCCTTTTCTTATAAATATATATTTTAAGTTTTTACTGGGAGAATCACCATTGCAAAATATCCAGCAGAGCCCTCCTTTACTCTCCACCAAAGATCTGGATTTGTTGCAAACTTTCAGCTGTGACCTGGGGTGGAACAGGACTTGTAGCTCTAAGTGGCTGTGGATTAAACTGAGAAAACAGGCATCAGAAAGGGGAGCAGAAAATTATTTTGCTTGGGACCAGAACATCCGTTCTGCTGGATCCACCCTGTACACACAAAGAAGCAGCATTATGATCTAGAAGAAGAGAAGATAAGGGCTAGAGCTGGAGTGGGGTTGGGTCAAGGTGACCACATTGGAATAAGAATTTTAGGGTGGAATCTGAGATGTGGGTCCAGAGGAGAAGAAATTTAAACTAGGAAGAAATAAGAACAAGTCCAACTAAGAAAAGGATGTGGGTCAGATCCGGATCATCTGATCTCTAAAAAGCATTTAGGTCTCTGAAAACTTTGATAATAATTTCTACCATGCTTGTAATTACCGCTAAGTAAGATCCACTTTGTGAATGAATTTACAGAGAACTTTAGCAGGGTTAAAAGTACATTGGAGGCCTTGTTAATGTTGATGGTGAAGCAAGAAAGGCTATGAGATTTAAATTTGACCATCGTGATGTAAATGACAAAGCCAGAGCAGCTTCTGTCCCATGTTTTACTCTAGAAATTGTGAGATGTGGCAACTTGCATCATGTGGGAAATGGCAGGCGTGACCTTCCTGGTAGAAAGGGGCCTGAGGCCAAATGTCAGGCACTGCAGGCTGGATTTTTCTCACTTGCAATCAGAATTCCTGTGGCTGCCATTAACCCTCTAGATTCCCTTGAGAGCCAAAGGAGACAAAAAGATGTTGGGTGTGACAGAGCCAGTGTCCTAGACATTTACATGAGGATAAGGTGAAAAGTGCTTTACCTCCTGTAATGGTCTACAGGACAGGACTAGGGGAAATGGCAGGGAGCTGAATCAGGGGAGATTTAGGTTGGATGTCAGGAAAAGGTTTTTCACTCAGAGGGTGGTTGAGCACTGGAACAAGCTCCCCAGGGCAGTGGTCACAGCACCAAACCTGCCTGAGCTCAAGAAGCATTTGGATGATGCTCTCAGGCACATAGTGTGATTCTTGGGGTGCCCTACACAGGGACAGGAGTTGGGCTCAATGATCCTGATGGGTCCCTTCCCACTCAGCAGATTCTCTGCATCATAAACATTCGTATTTAGTCAGATGATTGTAGTACAAGCCTAAGAAAAATTAAACCTGATCCAAAGGCTTTTGTGGTAAGTTCACACGAATAAATTTTGAATCCAATATTGTCTGAATTTTATCTTAATATTTATTAGTTGATGTAGGGACTACATGAATGGTAGAACGTGCAGGGAGGTTTGGGGGGGTCTGTGTGAGAAGTGAGATTTCCTTTTCCTTCTCTGGTCTTTTGAATAGTTGAAGTTCTTATTTCACAATCTTGCCCAGTAATAACTACTTCATTATAGTGAGGTTTTCTTTTGCATTTAGAACTTGAAGAATCTCAGCGGAGATGCCCACGGTTCCTGAGTGATTTTGCTTTCAAGTATCTAATTTGGGACTGTTGTCCACTTTGGTTGAGAATCAAGAAAAAAGTGACTGCTTTCATAAAAGATCCTTTTACTGATCTCACCATCACTCTTTGCATTGTGATGAACACTTTGTTCATGGCACTGGAGCACGATAATATGTCACCTGATTTTAAAATGATGCTCAAAGTAGGCAACTTGGTAAGCAAATTCCCAGATATTTTATATCAAGGATTTTACTGATGGGTGTTTTCACTTAAGACATAAAGAGCAATTGTAAAAATTAAAGATGAGCAAATTCTGCATTTATAAACTCTAAATTTCTGTCACCGAAAATTCCCAGATGTTATTAATACACTTTTAACACACTCCTGAGGAGGCAGAAAACAATCCTATTTTAATTAAAAGTGCATGAGAAGCTCATAAAAAATGAGTTTTGTTGTCCATAAATGTTATTTGTGGGAACATGATCTAAAGATAAGAAAAATTCATGACTGCTTTTAGGCTGATGTCACTGTTTCTTTGTCACAGGTTTTTACAGGTATCTTCACTGCAGAAATGATCTTAAAAATCATTGCTCTAGATCCCTATTATTATTTTCAGCAGCCCTGGAACATTTTTGACAGTGTAATTGTCACGTTGAGTTTAATTGAACTGAGTTTACCCAGAGACAAAAGCAGGAAGAAAAGCAAAAAAGGAGGAACCCTGTCAGTTTTACGATCCTTCAGACTGGTAAGATCTCATGCTTACTCAGTTGTATCAAACATTATGTTGTAAATATGACAGAGAACATTTCTGCTTTCTGCAGTTAGGATACAGGAATTTTTCTTTTTATTTTTTTCTCCTCTTGGCGCTTGGATTAAGAAACACATCCCCTAGTTCCTTGTGGTGTTAGTCAGAGTTTAACGATCTATTTCTTGCTTTTGAATATGCTAAGAAATATTCAGACATGTTAGAAACTGGACTGAAAAATAAAAATCTAGGACAGGAAACTTAAGGAAAAAAGTGTCAGAGTACAAATACAGGAAAAACAATATTTATAAATAGATGTAAAATGATATTTAGGTATTTGTATCATGTACTGTGGACCAATTAAGGTTGCTTTACCAAAATATAGACTCCTTGTATAGTAATAAAGCAGCTGGTCTCCCAGCTTTGATCCTTTGGGTAACAAAGACACTTACCAGTGACTCAAGTCAGCCTGGTCCTTTACTAGGGGATTAATTTATGTTTGCAATGTTGCCCAGTTAAAAATAAATAATAGTAATAAAAAAATCTGTAAGTACTTTAGAAAAAGTTTTAGTGTGGTGGTGCCACAAATATCACACTGCTGGAAAGTTTCAGAATATCTGTAAAATGTTTCTTGCAGGATTTGAACAGTACAAAGGTGGGTTACATCTACTGCTGTCTAACACCACTTTTTGTGTTTCTATACAGCTGAGGGTCTTCAAATTGGCAAAATCCTGGCCAACCTTAAACACTCTAATAAAAATCATTGGTAACTCCATGGGAGCACTGAGTAACCTGACCCTTGTCCTGGCAATCATCGTTTTCATCTTTGCTATAGTAGGGGTGCAACTTTTTGGGAAAAGCTATGGGGAGAAAAGATTTAAAATAGACAAAGAAGGCCAGCCACGCTGGCACATGATGGACTTTTTCCACTCATTCCTTGTTGTCTTCCGGATTCTGTGTGGAGAATGGATTGAGACCATGTGGGACTGCATGGTGGTTGCTGAGCCATCTCTGTGCCTGCTCGTCTTTCTACTGGTCATGGTTTTAGGAAACTTAGTGGTGAGTTTTCCAGTGTTTTCTTCTTTTCATCCTGTCCGTGCTGGAATCTTCTTAATTGCCATTCAATCCACAAAAGGGAGTTTCCCTAAACAGAAGTGGAAGAGTTCCCTGTGTGTGTTACAGTCTGCAAAAGCCTGTTTGGCATCTCAGCTTTGAGCCACCATCCATGTTTTCACATTTTGTGTGCTTTGCACACAGCATCACTCAACCTTTTCATGTGACAATGTGACAAGGAACATCTTTGCAGTAAATAGAATGTAGGCAAATATATTTCTTCACAGCTCGGGATTTGGATGTAAATAATGAGTAAGGCTTATGGCTTAACTCCTGGAATTAATGGAGTTAAGTGCTCAAGTTGTTCTGTAAATCAATTTTTGCAATTTTTAATTTTTTTTTTCAAGATCTCATGGAAGTATTGAATTCTTTATCAGCAAATGGCAGAATCTACATTCCTAGTACTGAAATCAGAATTTTCTTTACTCATCTCTAAGCATTTACACCCAAGAGCTGTGCCATATGCTGTGGCTCATGCCCGACAGTCTCAACCACCCACATTGGGGCGTAAGGGGAAGGCTGCCTTCATAGTCCTGCTCTCTCTTCTCTTAATGCCCAAATAATGAAAATCTTGTTTCAGTAGCTTTGTTTCTCATGTTATTCTTATTCTCATCTATATACCAATATTCCCTGAATTTAAGAAACTGCTGAAAATAAATAAGTTTAGCCAATCCTTTATGGGAACTGTGTGTTCTGTGGCTGAATCCCAAATGCTTGGGTTTAAGTCCCTCTTGTTCTACACCACAATGATCAATTTCAGTGATGAAATGTTGTAACTGATATTCTTATCACATATTGTTAACTGTCAAACAATTAACTGCTTGCCTATGCCCCTTGTTTAAGCTTTGTTATGTCCAAAGGAAACAGAGGTATCAGAGAGTGGGATATATTCCAAGCTAAAGTAAATAACTAAGACAGATGGGATGAATTGGTCTCTGGAGAGCTAAGGTTCTCCACTGACTGTGGTCTCTGGATGACTCAGGGGTGCTACCTGCCCAGTTCTAACACTATAAAAAATTAAGATACATAGATCCAACCTCAAACAAAACATTAGGGAAAAAAATTATATTCTTCCATTCCCTTAACAAATTAAAAATGTAACCAAAAAAAGGTTTTTTTTCAGTTCTTCTCTTTTATTGTACTCCAAATCAGAGAGGAAGCCTCACTTTGGAGTTCTCTTGATTTTCATTATTGTGACAATGTTGCAGATTTGATGGAATTACTGGGTCTGAATCTGATCTCACACAGGACTTTGGAAGTACCTCCAGAGAGGCCTGATTTAATTCTGGTTTGGAGAAAGAACAGACATTATTAAACTGACAAGCTGGGACTGTATCTTTTGTTTTAACTTTTGAAAAGTTGTTTTGGCCAAATAATCACTTGGCATGAAGTTATCTGTTTTAGCTCCTATTTTAAATAACTTTTTTGGAGAAGAAGGTCATGGGATCATTGGACTTCCTGGGAGAGAAGTTTACTTCATCAGTAATAGTGTTATCAGTCATAGTCATTCCATCATCACCTTGTTTTGGTTTGCTCAGTAAGACTGAACTTTGGTATTAATCTGTGTTCCTCAAAGTTAGATTTCTGGATGCTACTCTCCTATCTTTAAGTATTTCTAATATTTCAATTACTTTCAGGTTCTTAACCTCTTCATTGCACTGCTGCTGAATTCCTTCAGTGCTGACTCTCTCCAGACAGCAGAGGATGACAGAGAGTTGAACAACCTTCGAATCGCCTTTGCTCGGATTCACAAGGGATTTCACTTTGTGAAGAGTGTTACATGGGATGCCTGGTGTGGAAAGCTCAGGCACATCAAGAAAGCACACAAGAAGAAAATCAATTTGACTGCACAGAACCCACCTGGGTTCAAGCAAGAGGAAACAAAAAATCATAAAGAGAAGTACGATGATGAATGGACTGAGAAAACTGGGGACAGATCCTCAGGTCTTGAAGATTATGTTACCAACCCCAATGCATTTGTTTGTGTCCCTATTGCTGAGGCAGAGAACATAAGTGAGGGTTTTGAAGATGAAGATAAGCTGAGCACATTTACAGACACAGAATATAGCAAACAGGTAACAAATTGATTTCTTTGTGTTGGAACAGTAGTGTGTGCATATAGGCAATTAAATGTGGTTCATGTAGGTAAATACTGTAATGATATAGCTTTGGCACCTATTTGGATGCACCTTTTTTAACTTCTAGGCTCACACACTTTTAAAATCACAAATTTTGTTCCATTACCAACACTACTTGAAATATTAGTATGTAGCCATATTTCAATGTTGAATATTATTTGTTTACCGATTAACTTAATTCATTTGGAGCTGAATGTAGAAAGAATCAGTACCTGATCTTATTTTGCTTGGTAGCTGGTCAGTGTCAGCCCCTCTGAAGGCAGCACAGTGGATCTGACAAACCCTGAAGAGCTTTTGAGGAAGATTCGAGAGTTTGCTGAAGACTCCAAGACTCCAGAAAAATGTTTTCCAGAAGGTAAGGCTCTCGTGGTTCCACTACTGGGAAGTGAGAAGAGTCAAAACCTGACTTGCTTCTCTAGTGCTGCTGAGTCAATAGGGTGAGATTATTTTCAGTTAGTTTTAGTTATCTGGAAATTGGACATCAAGTCCAAACCATTCCCTGTCCCTAGTCAACAGAGAGTTTGTGGCACCTGAAAAATAGAGTCCCTGTTTCCTTAAAAGTCATGGGAACTTATCCTAACTGGGACCAAGGTGATGGTGCAGACCCACCCCCCAAAAATGAGATTATCACAGAGAAGTGAGATTAATTTCACTCTATTGGCAGCATCAAGGTTGCTTTTGGGAGTTAACAAAAAAGAATTGCATGTGATCAGATCTCACCTGGTAGTGGCCACTGGAACAAGGCACTTGGCACATCTAATTTTCAAATACTTTGAAAAAGTATAAATGTTTATTCCCTGAATAGCATTTCATGAACAATCTCTGTAACAAAGAAAGGAGTGAAATAAGCAGAGAGAAGCTGCTAGAATGAAGCTGAATTTCTATAGTGTGATAATCAGGGAATCCCTTCCCAAATCATTGGACAACATCTAGCTTTACAAGTTTTTACGGGATGTGTTGAGTACTCTGGTGTATTCCTCCTACCCAAACCCCAAACGTGTGTAACAACGTGGGGATTTCGTGAGGCCCAAAGAAACAGCTCTTGAGATTTTTCTCAAATACCTGTCACTACTGACAGGGGTAATCACTGCACTCCTGGCATTCATGGTGAGAGAACAAACTACAGCAAGTCAGTTCATAGACTCATTTCTTCCAAGTGTGTTCTCTTAAATGAACTATAACTGTGGCAAACTTCTTCCTCATGCTCCAACTTTTCTTTGCTTGCCCAGTCAACCTTCCTTGCCACCACCATTTCTGCCCATTCTCTGAGTTTTCCTTGATTCGGTTCTTTCCACTCATTCAAACTTCCATGTACCACAAAAGGATTAGGAGGGTCTTCTCCAGCCTCCCATACCTGGAGACTGGTGGCAGGTACTGATCTTGCTTTCCTCCTCTGCCCCTAAAGGCAGAGCTTTTCTCACATCTCTGCCTTCCAATTCAACCAACTCTTCCTGGATATTTTATTTGATGGGAACATGGATAAATCAAATCTGTTTCTAACTACTCCCATCCCTTCATTGCCTTCATTGACCTGTTCTACAAAGCTGGCCTTTTTTTTCTTTTTTTCTCTGTGCCCTTTTTGGGTCAATGAAATTTCTAATGTGCAGTTTTAGGACTGAATCAATATAAGTGAAACATGCAGAAATAATTTGAACCTGGGGAGGTTCATTAGCTGAATAGAAAGTATTTTCTGGGTAGCATTAATACACATATATATTTTTATTATTATGCTTTCATAAATCCTGAGAGAGAGCCACTCTACCTATGTTACAGTTTCTCCATTAAAAAGCAACAACAACAATAACAACAACAAAACAACAAAAAACCCCCCGAAAGACAAATATCACACTAATAAAAAAGATGCCAGATTTCTGAACTACTGGCTTTTTTAAAAAACTATTCTATTGATGGTACTTCTTGCCAGTAGAACTATCACAGTAAAGCACATAAAAATTTTTGTTGTTGTTGTTCTTCTCCAAAGAAGAAATGGGAAACATCTTGTTTTCCCCTCTCTAATTCAAGGCTGAAAGGTGCTTGCTGTGACCAAAGAATTAAAGAACCCAACTGAAGGTGGAGCAAATCTGTACCTAACACAGATTTCTGCACACAGAGTCCTTATCTTGTACCAGTGTCATTTCCTGCCTCATCACAAATCCCATATCCACATTACTGGGGAAACTGGGATTATTGAAAGAAAGATCACAATTATTTTTGCATGATATACATCCCCTTATATTTATGAGTTATATAATGTGTGTATAAGATATTGTATATATATGACATGAACATATTTTTTTTGTGATGGTGAAGGACAGAAGCCTTCTGACTGATATTTTTTATGATAATGAAGACATGAATTAGCCTAGAGCACACAGCAAGGACAATGTTATCCAAACATTGGCAAAATTAATAAGTTATCAAATCCAGAATTTTGTAGTGGGGTGGTCAGGAAACATTAGGTGCCCCTAGTGTCATTGTTTGTTATAAGAAACAGTCTTGTGAGCCTGAAAGATGTCTCCTTCTGTGACATATTCTTGCAGGGCATGCATTTTGAGCAACCTGGTCCAGTGGGAGGTGTCCCCATGGCAGGAGGGTTGGAACTAGATTTCTAGGGTCCCTTCCAACCCAAACCGTTCTGTGAGTCTCTATGATATAAAATCACTCCCCACATTCAGAACCAAATGAATAAATTGACAGACCTTGCAAGGCAGGTCTATTGCTGCAATATGTTGTAATACTGAAGACAACTGTTTACCTTCTCTGTCTCTGAGCCTTTTTGTTCTAGGGTGTCTTGTCTCTTCTTTCCAAAAAGACAATGTCGTGGTTTCTTTGGGCCCAACATGATAACAAAAGGAACAGCCCCATGGCCACTCACTCAACACCACACACACTCTGGGATAAGGAGGACAAAGCTCCTGGGTTGAGACAAAGGACAAGGAGGGTTCTTCACTGATTGATGTCCTGGGCAAAACAGGCTCAACTTGGGAAAAAGAAAATACTAAAAAAGATTTAATACTAACCACTCACACACAGGACAGAGAGAACACAAAGAGCAGGGCTTGAGTATGTTACCCCACCCCTCCCTTCTTCTCAGACCCAACTCCCTTTGTTCCCGGTTTCTCTCCCTCCTTCCCCCCAGCGGCACAGGGAAATGGGGATGGGGTTTAGAGTCAGTTCACAGGCTGGTGGTTCCTGCTGCTCCTTCCTCCTCAGGAAGAAGGATTCCTTACAGTCCTGCCCTGCTTCCCCACGGGGTCTCTCCCATGGCAGAGAGTCCTCCATCAACCTCTCCTCCATGAGTCCTTCCCACCAGGTCCGGAGCTGCTCCAGCCTGGGCTTCCCACAGAGTCACAGGTGCTTCAGGAACACCCAACTGCCCTGGTCCCAGAGGCTTCCAAAGCTGCACAACCAGAGTCCACAGACAGCAAATCCTCTGGCCACAACATTCAAGTCCACTGGCCAAGCTCACCCCTCCTGGCACCTTCAGAGACTGAGAAAGGCCTTTGTAACATCGAGGCCCTTCTCAAGGGTCTGCAGTTTTCTGTGCCTAAATTGCAGGTCAGTGAGAGTGTGTGTTGTCTCAGGAACATCTTAAAACAATGGAAAGTTGTCTAAAGGGGCTCCACCTTTTTTTAATGTATATAAGTAGGAGTTACAAGGCAAATAAAATTATGTTTCCTTTCCCCTCCACCCCCATGGCAAAACATGAAAAAAAACCCAACTCAACAAGGATGCAGTTAATGTGGCCATGGACTTTCCCCTGCTGCAAAAAGTCTCTTGAGCAACCTTCCTGTGTATGTGCATTCATTCCATACATTCCTTGCTGTCTCTCCCCTTCAGGTTGTGTCCGATACCTCTGTTGTTACATGAGTAATGCCAGAAGGTTTGGCGAAGAAACATGGTGGAATCTGAGAAAAACCTGCTACCAGATTGTTGAACACTCCTGGTTTGAATCCTTTATTATATTCATGATCCTTCTGAGCAGTGGAGCCCTGGTTAGTGTAGCACAATTTCATGTATTTATTTAGAAGCATTTTTAGCTATAATTCACACACAGAGAAGTTGTTTTTAGCAGAAAACTGTTAATATCTTTGAATTTATCAGGAGGAAAAAGAAGAGGCTTCATATAACAGTCATTCCCTCACTGTTGCAATTACTGCAAATTTATTATTCATATTATTACAAACCATGAGATAAAATGAACAATGCTAAATATATGTAATTCTCAGAAGCTGTTTCTATTCTGGCTTTATACTGGATTTTTCTGGCTTTCTCCGGAAGTTATTTTGCATTTGTGAAATACATATTTATTAATGTCATTAAAACAAGTACATTAATCTTCATACTCGAAAAAAATACTTGCTTCTCTTGGAAGAGTATTTTTAGAAATTAATTTCTAGAAGTTTATACTTTCCTCATAGGTTTCCAGCATGTATGATTTGTGTGTCCACAGGAGTGTATTAGGTAGAGAAAAAGAGAAAAGACAGGGAGAATTATCCATTTATGAGTAAAAGATGGGGTTTAGATCTGTGTAAAACACATACTGAATGATAGTGTCTTAATGATGCTAAGCTTTCATTCTATAAAACTAATCTTTGACTTTTGCCATTTATCTGTCTATTATGATTTCAGGCATTTGAAGACATCCATTTAAATAATAATAAAAATATTAGAGATATGTTAGCATTTCTTGACAAACTGTTCACTTTCATCTTTGTTCTGGAGATGCTCTTGAAATGGGTGGCTTATGGCTTCAAGAAGTACTTTACCAATGCCTGGTGCTGGCTGGACTTCCTAATTGTAAACGTAAGTTCTGCCTTTGGCATTTCTACCTGGGTCGTGAGGCAGGATGCAGAAATGGAATCCTTGTGCTCTGGATGCAAAGCTAAGACAGTATTCCCACCTTCTTCAATGATGATTACAGGATATTGCACTCTGGGCACTGAAATTAGGGGGAGAATTGGTGGGGATTTTTTAACAGGAATAAAGGAAACAGATGCCAGGACATTATTAATGCTTTCTTTTCTCTTCCCTTCCAGATCTCTTTAATAAACCTCTTGGGCAGTTCAGACAGTCCCATGAAATCTCTTAGGACTCTGCGAGCTCTGAGACCCTTAAGAGCATTGTCACGATTTGAGGGGATGAGGGTAAGACTGAATATAAATTAAACCCTGTCAGTACTAACAGGCATGTAACAGGTTCACGACTGTGTCTTTTTGAAGTTCACACATCTGCCCCAAGCTCAGTTTAGGGCCCAAAAAATAATTTTAAAAAGACATCTTTGCTGTCCTCCTCTGTATTTGTCTGCTCCTTTATAGCCTCTCTTGGAGTCACTGATCATAAGCATCATTGAAACTAAAACTAGACTGGGCAGAACTTTGTTCCATTGCTGCTCAGTCATTCTTGTGTTCCCGTTGTACTGAGATAGTAAAAAAGAAAAAGGAGAATAAGAATTGTGAGCAAAATTCCCATTTTTGAAGTTTGATGAAAAGCTAATTCACAGGAATCACCCCCATTCTGTAAATTTTTACTGGATTGATTTACAAAAACTTTAGATTGTTAAAGGGTACTTTGCACAAATTATTGTTCCAAATATACTTCATCTTTCAAAAAGCAGTTTTTTCTGTAGAATATTTTTTGCCATCAAAGGAGTGCCTGGAACCATGTGAAGCTGCTGGATGTTAATTACATGTAATTTCAAAGCTACCAGTTTGCAAATGCTGAGAGATTCCCTCAACCAGATGAAAACCACATCCATACACTGCAGGGTGAACCAATATGATAATCACAGTGGGATTTGAGCAAAAATCTGTGAAAATAGATTATGGAAACACATATGGCATCACTGTCACACCTTTAATGGGAATGTAGCCTCAACGCAGCTGAAGCACAGATTGTTTTTAGATAACTCCTGGAAGTGACACTGAAAGGTCTCAGCCTGTAGTCTTGTCACCCTGAAGGCAGAGAGAAATTCCATTAAATTAATTAACAGAATATATTCAAATGTTCATGTCTGGAGTATATTTTGAAACAGGTGACAACATACTTTGCCTTGCTGTGCAGAATGTGTGTGACATCACCTCCAAAATCCTTCAAAAAGCTTTTAAATTTTCCTTCTGGTCCATCAAGTTCTTCTCTGCCACCTGGCTGCTGAGTGCATTGCCTTCCCTGTGAAACTCAAAGATTCATTCTCATCATTACCTTGAGCTGCCCCATTTTATGAAGCAATCTGTTATGTCTTAGAATGCACTTAAAACCCACATGGACAGTTTCTGTGATTATACAACACTGAGCACAGGAAACCTACCTTGCTCATGGTTATAGACCCCAAACACAATCATAATCCACAAAAACTAACAGATCTAGCAAAATACCAGGGGAGAGCTATTACTGGTCCTTTTAAAGACTGCTCTCTACAGTCTTAATGATTCAGTCCTCTGGACTAGTGCTCAGGGATGAACATTTCATAAATTTAATGTTATAAACATTTAAATAAAAAAACCCAAACCAACCCTGCCCCACTCCAAGACCAAGGGGAAGTCATGAAAAGAGGAATGGGCTCACACTGCTTATGTGTGAGCCTTACCACTTATGTGGTAGTGGCTTGCAGCATCCCCAGATTATCACCTGTTTCTTTGGAAGCCTAAGAAATACTATGGACTTTTGAATCTGTTCAAGGTACCTGTGCCAGCTATGACTAGTATTTTTAAGAAAAAGATAAGGATTCTGTTTTCTGAGATGACTAACTAGCTGCTTACTGCACTGAACAAATACTGGAGCCCACCTTTATTTAAGTGTATTTCCCCTCTCTCATTTCATCCCAGGTGGTTGTCTATGCCCTCGTGGGAGCCATCCCTTCCATCATGAACGTTCTGCTTGTCTGCCTCATCTTCTGGCTCATCTTTAGCATCATGGGAGTGAACCTATTTGCTGGGAAGTTTTGGAGATGTGTCAATATGACAGAAGAAGATTCGGAATTAAGTGATTGGATTAATAACACAGAAGACTGTAGAAAATATAATGACACAGGAAAAATATTCTGGGTCAACTTGAAAGTCAACTTTGATAATGTTGGCTCTGGCTACCTGGCTCTTCTGCAGGTGGTAAGTGCTGCTTTCCTTCACTAGCCAGCACCATGTCAGATGGGCTTGACCTCCAGCCAACTCCTAACTCATCTCTGTGGGTGATGGAAGGGATTGCTTTCATACAGCCTGCTCTTGCCATGTAGCTAGTTCAAACACCAGTGCTGTTTCTGCACACAAATGGAAATAGGGGGGAAAATTAGAGTCTGTTGTGATTTTCCAGATGTTAAAGGTAAACATCTGGTGAACAAGTGTTGTTTCAGCCTCCAGCAGGTTCATGAGATTTACAGCTGGAGTCAAAGTCAGAAGGAAATCTGGGGCAAATACTGAAATAATTTTCCATATTACTGTTCTTTTTTTCTCAGCATAAAGGGTTGTTGGGCCTTTACTAGACCTTTAATGAAGGTTTGCCCTGTCAGCATCATAGGACAACATATCCTGTCCCACCCTAGCAAGGTTTCACATCCTGATAAGGCCGAGAATGTTACACATACAGCAGGGGCAAGTTTCCCTAGAGCCAGAGCTGGCTGCTACCTGTACATATTCATTCCAAATGCTCCTTGGTCAGTGTCATTCAGATACTGCAAGTGATGCAAAGACTTTTAACCTGAAAGTTCAACATGTTTGCAATAATCTCTCATTCTAGGCAACATTTAAAGGTTGGATGGACATCATGTATGCAGCAGTAGATTCACGAGAGGTCAGTTCCTATATTCAAACCATATCTTTTGTTAATGCTACTGCTCTCCACAAAAGCTTTATGATTTTTGCATGTTTGTATCTGTTGTTTCTGCCAAATCTTTCCAGTAATTATCTTTATTGGCTGATGTAAACATTTAAACAGTAGCTTTGCTGTCTTATCAGAAGCATCATCCAGTGTTATACAGAATGAAGAGGTGCATCTTTGGAGGCAAATAATTTCAAATGAAGAGGTTATCTTAATTTGATAATGATATCAAAGGAATAAAATAATTTTAAAAGTAGCCATATATAAAAAGGGGTGTGTCTGAGAGACTTGTGTTTCAATTTGAATAACTGTTTTTCTTTTGATCTTGTTTTTATCCATAACAGACACAGAAGTTTTTTTGCTAAAAAGAACAAACATATCTAGGCTAAGATTTTTAATGCCAAGAGCATGGAATTACACTTCTAAATAGTTTATTGTATAGTTTGTAGTTTAGTGTATAGTTTTACAGGCCTCAGGCAACTGCAAATGGCAAGATTTTAAGTCAAGTTTGAAAAGAAAAAAAACAAACAACAACACAATAATCAGCTTTTTGGAAAAAATAAATGTAAATAAAATTAAACTGCATTTGCAATTAGTGAAAGATCAGTTTCGCTCTACAAGTTCTTAATCTCAAATATATTCAATAGAGTATCAATTAATTGTTCATGTTAAAAAACATACTGTGAAAGAAATAAAACATACATGTTTTATTATAATATTTATATTACAGTGTTAGAGTTTTATTGTAGTATAAACACTTAATAGTACTATTAATTTTTGTTGTAAAAGACATCAAATTAATAAGTGATCATAATACAAACACTTTGTAGCTCTATTATTTTGAGCAGTATTTTCTGGGTTGTTATCCCACAGGTGTTGTGCTTGGCAGATCATTTTCTAAAGTTCATGTTTAATTTCAAAAGGGATAGTATCCAGGATCTGAGCAATAATGTCCCTACAAGGTCCTAAAATTTTGATGCATCTGGTAGTCACCATATGAATGTTACTTTCTTCCACCATTTCATGTGCCTTCCAAAAGTATTGTATACTTAAAATATGTAGTGTTATGTGCTTTTGGTAGTTCTAAGCTGTACCAGTTTTGTCAGAATTAGCAGAAGGGCTCTAAGTCTTGGTTCCTCCTGGAATCAATTTATGAGAGGATCTGCAATATTCTGAATTGGGCCCATGTCGTTAATGGTAATTTTTCATGTTGTTTCTCCTTCTTGCAGAAACATGAGCAGCCAAAAATGGAGCATAGTCTATTTATGTATCTCTACTTTGTGATCTTCATAATCTTCGGATCTTTCTTTACCCTGAATCTATTTGTTGGTGTTATTATTGACAACTTCAACCAACAAAAGAAAAAGATAAGTATATTGGTTGTGTTCCCAGGCACCTTCTACATCTCAAGCAATGCTGTCTCTAGAGAGGGACGTCTTTACTACATGTAGTATTTTAATTCTAACAGCATTAGCATTAAGTTAGCAGAAGTAACACCCAGGGTGAATTTCTTGCTCCTTTTTTATATCCTCTAGCCTGGACACCCAGCCCTTTCCCAATATTTCAAAGGCAATGACATCTTCTCTGCAGCCCCTTAAAATCTTCCACCTTTTTGGCAACAGAGCACAATGGGAGACTTGCTATTTAGAAAGCAGGCTGGTATAGATGCTCTGAGAATGACTTTGGATGTCAAATTAAACAGGATGTGTGAAGCTGTTTCTCTCCAGGTTTCCAGCATGTCCTTTCTTTTCATGCTTTCTCAGCTATCTGGGTTTCACCCCAGAAATCCTGCTTTGTATCAGCAAGATGTTAAAAAGGAAGGGATGTTATTTTTCAGCATTTTAGACTTTGTCACTACAACAGTGCTGCTTGCTCACCAAATAACAGTGACATTTTTTTTTTATATACTTAGGTGGGGAAGATATCTTTATGACAGAAGAACAGAAAAAATACTACAATGCAATGAAAAAGCTGGGATCCAAGAAACCTCAAAAACCTATTCCAAGACCACTGGTAAGACAGACTGAATTCTTCAAAAGGAAAATGTATGACCAAAGTGTAATTTAATTCACTGAAAAGTGTGTGTGTTTATATATTACATATACATTATACTCTATTTCCATTGATACTCAGTGCTCTGAAGTCGATTCCATACCAATAAGTTGCACTGAAAGATTTCACAGGTTAAATATTTATTAAGTTATCTGCACTAATATTGTTGGGTTTTACCTTCATCTTGGAACTGATTAAAATTCAGGATGGGAAGGAATTTTAACATTCTGCGTTGTTTAAATTTCTCTGACTTCACTATAATTAGGGACTCTGCAACATAAAAATGGGAGCTGTTGGGAACTCATATGGATTAATACTCCTTACTTTCCTATCTGATGCCAGATGTATTTTTCCCCTCTAGAACAAATACCAAGGATTCCTTTTTGACATTGTAACACGCCAAGCTTTTGATGTTGTCATCATGGTTCTCATCTGCCTTAACATGATCTCCATGATGGTGGAAACCCATGGGCAAAGCGAAACAAAGACTAACATCCTTAACAAAATCAATATACTCTTCGTTGCTGTCTTTACTGCAGAATGTGTACTGAAATTGGCAGCTCTGAGGCAGTACTATTTCTCAAATGCCTGGAATATATTTGATTTAGTCGTTGTGATCATGTCACTTGTTGGTAAGTAAAATTGGTTTGGTGGATTCTTCACTAAATCAACTATTATTTGTTCCAGAAAAAAATGATTAAAATTTATCAACTGCAAATGGATGTTGAAATGGAAATAATAGAACTGTAAAGTGTTAAGGAAAGACAGCATGCGACCTAAAAAATCCACCATGATGATATTAAAATAATATGAAATAAGAGTTTAAAAAATATCTACCATTTTGATTTGATACTTCTTTTTAAGGAATGTGGTACTATGTATTATTTTTCATAGTGGTACTTTAGGTTGTTTTTTCCTGGTCTGAAAGAATTAATATCTTACCAGTACCACATTTTCTGCTAATTGCCATTGTCACAGATAAAGAAAAATAATGATGAGATATAAATTGCAGTGTTTTGTCATTCATGTTCATAAGAGAGAACTCAAATATGTAGACAAATATGAAGACTGGAATTAGATTACAGACTATGGGATTCAGTTTCTGGAAACTTGGACACAGCTGATTTAAAATAAGGGTACTACAGAATAGAAAAGAACACCACAAATGTATTAGTTTTTATATAAAGGGATTGTAAAGATCTCTCCTGCCAATTTAACTATTCCTATGACCAGTACTGGCAAAATAGCAAAAGGCATTTAGAGGAAGAAAAATATTTGGTTTCTTTAGCATGAGTTATTTTTTGGGTGGCAATAAGAATATAGATCTTCCTTGAGAAAACATCAGGTGTTTCTTGACTGTACAGGTACTACCGTTTCATCTTGCCACTAGTTAAGTAGAAACATGATATTCTAACCAGTTATTATCCTTTCCATTTTAGCCTCACTGCTTTCTGGCATTGGTAAAGCATTTGAGCATTTCTTACCACCTACGCTCTTCAGGGTTATCCGCTTGGCTCGGATTGGCCGAATACTGAGACTCATCCGGGCTGCCAGAGGGATTCGAACTCTGCTTTTTGCCTTAATGATGTCCCTCCCTGCTCTGTTCAACATTGGCCTCTTGCTTTTTCTGGTCATGTTCATTTATGCCATTTTTGGCATGGCTAACTTCGCCTATGTTAAGAAGGAGCATGGGATTGATGACATGTTCAACTTCCAAACCTTTGCTAACAGCATGCTCTGTCTCTTCCAAATCACCACTTCAGCGGGCTGGGATGGTCTTCTCAGTCCTATTTTAAACACTGGGCCACCATATTGTGATCCAAACGTAAATGGTACTATAGGTGAATGTGGTAAACCTGCCATAGGCATAATTTATTTTGTAAGTTACATCATTATATCATTTCTCATTGTTGTAAACATGTATATAGCTGTGATTATGGAGAACTTCAATGCTGCTACAGAGGAAAGTACAGAGCCTTTAGGGGAAGATGACTTTGACCTCTTTTATGAAATCTGGGAGAAGTTTGATCCTGAGGCAACTCAGTTTATAGCTTTCTCTGCACTTTCAGACTTTGCAGATGCACTGGCTGAACCTTTACGTGTACCAAAACCAAACAAAGTTGAACTCATAGCAATGGACCTGCCTATTGTCAGTGGAGATAGGATTCACTGCCTGGATATCCTGTTTGCTTTTACCAAAAGAGTGTTAGGAGATTCTGCTGTGCTGGATACTCTTAAAGTACAAATGGAGGAGAAGTTCATGGCTGAAAATCCATCCAAAACATCCTATGAGCCAATCTCTTCTACTCTCAGACACAGACAAGAGGAAGCTTCTGCCACTGTCATCCAGCGTGCCTACAGGAGTCATCTGCTCCTGCGCTCCATAAGGAATAAGGCTTCTAACCTGCACCATCACAGAACTTGCAGTGGTGACACCCTTACAGGTGTTATTCCAGAAAAAGAAGAACTTACTACATCTATGATGGGTGAAAATTATAGCAGGAGTCCTGACAAGTCTGAAACTTTGTCTTCAGCATCCTTTCCTCCATCGTATGACAGTGTGACAAGAGCCAGTAGTACCAATCTCATGGTTGAGAATGAAGAAATTACAGGTAATCAACAATCTCCAGGCATTAAATAGTTCATCAGTGACAATGTTAAGAATATTTTAGAATGTTCACAGAAGCTGATATTGTACATGCATGTCAGCTGAGGTAGCCCCCCTACTAAACAAGTCTATTGATCTCAGTCAGTTAACCACAGTCAGGTATGGTCACTTAACCATGGTAGCTGCTGCACCGTGGCCTTTGACTCTGCCATATTCAGCTTTGTTAAATATTTTTATACTTGCAGAGACAAAAGCTGTGAAAGGTTTTGGGCCTATTTGACCAAGGGCATCCCACTGCAAAGCAGGTCACGCAGTACCTGAGTGCTGTATTGTACTCATAGCTGTGGTAGGTAACATCTACTGACATCACCCTTGATGCTAGAAGCAGAAGAAAGCCCAAGCAGCAACATATCTACTGAAGAACAGGAAAAGAATGTCAGTGTTAAATAAATTGTTGAAGGGAAAAAAGCTGAAATTTACCTTCAGTCCATTTCTAATTGAGACTCATTATAAACCCATTAGGCTGCTGGGTTTTTTTTAATGTTTGGGGACTGATGTACCACAAAACTAGCCACTGCATGACCCACGGATATGCCACAGTGTAGTGGACTTCTTCCAATATGATCAATTACAGAATAAGTCATGGCATGAATGCTATTGTAGTTGTCTTGTAGTTGTCTTAATAAAATAATAAATACAATTCTTAGTATTCCAGAAATTGTAGTGAGCTGAGTAAAGTCTTGCTTTCTATTTTGCCTGTGAGGATTATTTTTTTGAACCTGGTTTCCTGTGGCAGTGAAAAGATGGCAGCCTTCCTGGGTGTCCATCAGTCACTCCATAACAAATTGTGTTTATTACATAATTTCCTCAGAGTTCCCAGAATGGTTAAGTTTCACGCTCAGGTTCATTCCTGCCACTCTGGTAGAGAAGAGAGGCACAAATAAGCATTTCTGCTCGGGGCAAATTGGCAACATCACTTCTAGATGTCAGAAACCCAGACTGGGAAGCACCACGTGGGCCCCATCAGAGCTTCCCTTAGTCATGGTGCTGAGTGTCACCCATCACCATGTAATGAGGCCTTTGACCTAAGGTAGATGTGACCCATCCATGGCAAGAACCTTTTCCCCTTCTGCCCATGCTTCTCTGGTGGTTTGATCAGTTTTCTCTTCCTGAAGAAACCAAAGTATGAGTAAAGTGGTCAGTTAGGAAATCTGGGTTAAAACATTTGGGTCTGGGGTTAACAGGATGTAATAATGAACTATGCTTCTTGCGAAACTATGTATGCACATGGTCTCACAATCTTCACCACATTTTCCTTATAAAAGTCTGTTTTCATGTCCTTACTAGCTTGGTTCTTCTCAGAAAAACACATATTCAGACAATACTTAGTATTTTCTCCTTTGTACATATGCTTTGGAGATACTTTCAGCTGATGCACTTTGCTGTCTAATGACTGTTGTGTTACCCCTTGTCATGCACTAGGTACAGTCATAAATTACCCTTGACACTTTAATTTCTTATTTGTACTTCAGACATGTTGCATGCAAGTCAGTACAAGATGCTTTTTATTTTTCTTAGTCATTAAGTTGTAGCTGTGTGGTCACTGTTGGGGTTGGCAGGTTCTGACAAGCCTCAGCTGAGCTTTCTCCTCCACACAGAATTCAGCCAGAAGTAAAACTGGGTTTCATGACTGAATGGGACCTCCCGGATCCTCTACTTACAACCTGCAGCAAGTTGCCTACTCTTTTCAACATCCCTCCTCTACGGTGGCAGTTATATGTCCTGTCTTGTGTCACCTTCCTCTTCTCCTCCTCTTCATCTCTTCAGATTGTGAGCTCTTTGGACAGAAATTCTCTTTTACTATGAATGGTAAATTACATCATAACAATGGGACTGTTTTCGGTTAATACTCTCTGAACACAATTTGCAAATAAAGAATGTTTATAATACTTTTGCATTTTAATTTCCTCTGTGGTATTCCCTTAGCTTCTCCAAGCCATCATAGAATCTTTAATTAGTTTTGACTGATGGTCCCTCAGATTTTAAGAAATGGCACATAGTGAATCTGCTTCATACGAGGGAAATCAGCAGCTCTGTGCCACTGGAACCTGGGAGACTCTCTTCCTTCTCACTAAAAAAAATCATACAAACAAGAAACTATAAAAGAATCTATGTAGTTTAAATATTTGTAGTTAAGTAAAATTATTTTTAAACCATTTTCCCAGTTTGTGATCCAGCACAGCTTAGGGGTAGACTTCATCTCGATTGTAAGATGGTGTCTCCCAGCTCCAGCTGGTCCAATGTCTGCTTCCCATGATGTGCAAAGTCCATTGAGAAGCACTAATGAGCCACATGAACCATTCTCATTGATTTGAGAGTGCATGGAACAGCCATAGAATCACTTAGGTTGGAAAAAACCTTAAAGATCATAGACTCTTACTGTTAACCTAGCACACTGCCAATCCACCACTAAAACATGTTCCTCAATGCCACATCTACACACCTTTTAAATCCCTCCAGCGCTGGTGACTCAACTGCTACCCTGGGCAGTCTGTTCCAATGCTTGACAACCTTTTTCTTCAATACATTTTTCTTAATGTCCACTCTAAATCTCTCATGGCACAGCTTGAGTCCTGACATGACATTCTCTTGGGAGGTTATTTATTGAAACACTTCCCTACCCAAAGAATCATCATATTTGCCACTTTGTGTTCCAGGAAGAGATATTTTGGATTGCAAGAATAATTTATTGACAGTCATCTACATCCAAGCCTCAGTGAAGTCCATCTAATTGGGAGGGCCACCCTGAAGCTGAGTCAGAGCTCCAACAATGTAGGAGATCAGATGCAACAGATTATTTGGTACCCTAAGTGAATTGATGCAAGGTGACAATTACCCCCTTAGGGTGAATTTTACCTTCTGCAGAAAATCTTCTGAATAAACATTATAACATTCGAGGAAGGCAAGCCCCTTGTCATGTTCTTTAAGAATTCTCCTTCTCCTCTGAACACTCTTAATTTTGGATCTTACCAATGTCCACATTAAAATCCTAGTTTCTTGTGATGGCTGCATGGCATACAGTCTTATTTCCAGATGGATTGCTGTCCCTTTCAGCCATACTGAATGACACTGGATATGCTTGCCCCATTTTGGACACTAATCTGAGAGCATTGCACTAACAGCCTGGTCCCTTCAATAGTTACCTCTTCTGTAATCTCTGTATTACTTACAAATGTTCCCTCAAATCATTACATTTTTAAAGAGGTCATTAATAGAGACAACACAACATTCGTTGAGAGCTCTTCCCTTTGAGAGCTGATGAAAATCAACAGCTCAACATGATGCTTTTGTTCACTCCTTTGGTAGTGATGGAGCACAGCAAACACTGCAATGAAGGACATGAGAACACCAGAACTCTACCTGTCTATCATGGACTTGATTTCACTAGCTAAGGCACCACATTTATCACAGGAAATAGATGCAATGGAAAAGCCTTGTGTACTTGCACTCCACTCAAAAGATTTAAAGGGGAAAATAAAACATAAATAAAAAACCCTAGGTGGACCTGACCAATAAAAAGCTATTTTCTTCAGCAAAAATAAGGACCTGTAGCATAAGTTAGACTGAATTTACCCTTTAAACTATCATTATTATGGGACCATGCTAATAGTTTATTTCAATGCTTCTCAGTTCTTGTGCAAATCAATGGTTCTGGGTGGCATGAAACTCCTATTGCAGTTCCAAGCATGGAGTTTATCCTCCTGTTCATCAGACATCTTCACAATTCAACAGGAGTTGAATGAAAACCGGATCAAGTGCAGAGAAGCAATACCAGAATGGTTAAAATCTGTATAATGAAAAGTGATCCAGGTTTAGTTTGGTTAGTCTAGAAAATACACTGAGAGGATGCATCATAACTCTCAGTAAATAGAGCAGGTGAAAAAAATATGAGAGAAGGGAAATAAAAATAATGTTCAAAAGGCAAATCCACAATTTCCTAACTATTCTACTCAGGAAAAAAATGCCCTAGAAATTAGAAGTAGCTTCTGTTCTCCAGTGGATGGAGTCGTGCAACTGCTTTGCAGCAGGAGCAGAGGAGCCAGCCTGACGTTGAACAGTTAGAAATTTCTTCATGGGATCCCGTGCCACGGCACTTTCAAGGGGATGTGTGACCCTGCAAACCCCTTAATTCCTTCTTGAAACTCTGAATTTTAGAAAATGAAACCCGGGAGCTGCAACAGGACAGTGAAACTTGTTGAATGCTTCCTCCTAGTGGCTTTAGATCAAAATGACATATTCAAAGTGCAAATGAAAGTTGGGGCCTCTATGTCAACTATTGAGATTGAAACTTACACAGGTAAATAATTGCCTTAAAAAAGAATGTCAGCAGCAAGCACGGAGCTTCTAGGGAGTGGGAGAAAAGGTTGTGCTAAAAGAAGGCTACAGTTTAAATGTCAGAAAAATAAGTGAGTGTGTCCTTGTAAAAGAGAATTAGACCATGAAAAGGAAACAGAAACAGTAATAAGTAACTCATAGGCTACATAAGAAAGAAGAAAAAGAAAAGAAGATGTAGGATTGGCTTAAAATGGGACAGAAATGAGGTTTTGGAATGTTTTAGAGTTAAGGATCGTTATCTACATTTATATGATAAAGATCAGAGAAAAAAGTCTCAATTTTCACTGGAGAGGGTTTTCAATATTGGATTACATTTTCTTTAGCTAACAAGATATATTTTAATGGAAATGTGAGTACAGCCACGGGTGAACACAGAAGGGAATTAAAGCAATGGAATCAGAGATCAGAGTAACCCCTCTTCAAAAACACTATTGAGAACTGGCACATGAACCTGCAGATCTGTCAGTAAGGATTTTGTGAGCATCTGTCAAACTTGGAAAGGTTGGAGGAGGGACAAAAGACCCCACAGAAATGCATGTTAAATGTAATACCTGTACTAGAAAATGAGGTAACAAGCAACTCAAACATCAGAGACTTGCTGATCTGAACCTAGTGTTCTGCAGGTCTCTGGAACACAT